GAGGACTTGCTGTACAGTTATTTTAAAGAAAAAAGTACGTACGAAATGTGTTTACAGTTAAATGTACAGTTAACTAATGTATGCCCTTTCAGATATTCCAGTTGTACTCTGCTATGTCTCGGTTATTGACAAATGTCTGCTGCGCGTGTTTGACATAGAGGAGGTGGCCTCGCTGCTAGAGCAGGTGAAGGATATCATCCAGCGGCATTCGGCTGAGATTAGCTCAAAGGTATCGGAGCTGCCCTCGTACAATGATAATTTCCCTTGGACCCTTTATGAGATGCTGAAGTTCTTTACTGAATCCATTTCGTGGTCCGAAGACATGGATCAACTAGTGCTGACGGCCAAGACAGTGACAGAAGCACTCAGCGCTTTGGTGGTAAGTGTTGCCTCAACTCATTTGACACTGGAATATCTTTTCATAAGCAAAACTTTTCTCTAGATTGCATTGGACACTTTGAGGGGCGAGGATATTCCGCTGTGCAGCATGCTGTCGCCGATAACATCAAAGATATTGATTAAGAAACTTGGCATTGTGGAGCAGGATGATTCCCTGATGATGAACATAAAGCGCACCATTGCTGGTGTGCTGCAGAGCTACGTTATATCCAATGAAAATCTGGCCAGCGCTGCACTGCTCGATCCCCGATTCCATCGCCTGACGACAATTGAGAATCTGGATAGATGTGTCCGCATGCTGACCCAGAAATACAACAAAACGTTCGGCGGATCTAACGGTGAACCAACAGAAGTGGCAGCCACTACCTCCGTGAGCACTTTGCCAACTGTTAACATCAAGACAGAGGCAAGAACAAGCGACGGTGCCAAGAAGTCGAGTAAGTATTCAATGCTTGTGTGGATCTTTGGAACCCCCAGTTTATAATTACTTACTCCTCTGCAGAGCTGGAACTTTTGTTTGATGTTGCCGAGATACCAAACCGACCCAAGCGGGATGCCGACAGCAATGTGGAAACTGATCTGAAACGTTACCGCAACGAGGTAGTGGTACAGTTGGACGAGTCCCCCATTGAGTGGTGGATCAAGATGGGACACATTTATCCAACGCTGTGCGACCTTGCCACCTTATATCAGAGCGTGCCCGGCGTGGTGACCCTCAGCTTTAAGAAGGCGCTGCGAGAGCAGATATATGACTTCAACAAGCGTTCCATGCTCACAGGAAACCAAATCGATGCAATATTGTTTTTGAATCATCACAGAAATTAATTAATCGCACATAGAATGGCTCGCTGGATATTGTGGCTTTTTCTTATTCGTAGTCGAAAGAAAACGAAGAATTCTGATTTTCTACTGAATGTACAACAGAATTCATTGTTTTTAACTTCCCTTTTTAAACCCCAAAACTTATTCTAATCTATTTGACTACGGCCTGTTAATTGGGATTTTATTTTAATTGGAAAAGAATGAAGACAAAGGAAAGTCAGACTTGGCCTTCTACTGTAGCAGTAGGCATACATATTTGTGTAAAATATGAAACCTAAACATAAATTTATAAATGGATCTTGCTTATTTTCTGTCCCAATAATCATTTAATTCTAAGTATTATTGTTTAATAAAAATAATTTAGTAACCTCATATCTGTATTCATATGAGTTTTTCAGGTCTATTGGACTCCGCAGAGTCCGGGTTTCACTGTTTTTGTTGTTATTATTAATTGCACCTACATATGTACATATTCACATATATATAGTCGCGTTTACCGACACAGCTTAAGGTATATTTTGGTATTTTTTCGAGTGTTGTGCGGTATGGTTTATCGCCAATTCCGCGGTCACACTGCCCGCATTTGCAGTAACAAAAAAAAAAACTTATAAATATTGAAAAAAAAGCGTTGATTTTGCATTGATATCAAGATATACCTGAAAATGTGCCGCAGAAGCCAACAGATGCGTGGGTGCAAAAACCGGAGAATATAAATTACTGAGTAATAGAGCAACGGCGACAACGACAACCCATCGAAAACAGTTACAGGGCGGCGGCGGCGGCGACAACGGCAACAGCTTTGTTGCTTTGTTGTTTTGTCGTTTGACAACGAAAGCAAAATAACTCGGCAAAACTTCGGCTGTGAAAAATTGCTGTCGAGAACTCCAGAGGCACTCTAGAGGAAAGTCCGGAGAAAGAGATGTGTCGCTTGGACATACGTCACTTCTGCGAGGATTGGCGCATCTGGATACGCCCGCTGCTGATTGTCACCTATGGCATATTCGCAATCATTGTGGTGCCCCTGCTCATCGTGAACTCTGTGAAGGACGGCTTCCAGCGCAACGATCAATTGATACTCATTGGCGGACTGTTTGTGCTATCGGCGGTGCCCGTGTCAATATGGCACATCATACAACACGTCATACATTTCACGAAGCCCATTCTGCAGAAGCACATCATACGCATACTGTGGATGGTGCCCATCTACGCTTTGAATGCGGTAAGTGGGTCAGACGAAAGCGAAACTGGAATCGAATCAGAAACAGAAACCACAAGTCTGCTTTTGCCGTCGGGCGCAGCTGTATATGAAATCTAATACTTTATTTATTGTCGTCTCACAGTGGATTGGTTTGTTCTTTCCGAAACACTCGATATACGTGGACTCATTCCGCGAATGCTATGAGGCCTATGTGATCTACAACTTTATGGTTTACCTGCTCAACTACTTGAATCTCAACATGGACTTGGAGATAACAATGGAGTATAAGCCGCAGGTGAATCACTTCTTCCCCCTCTGCTGCATGCGTCCGTGGATTATGGGGCGCGAATTCATCCATAACTGCAAGCACGGCATCCTGCAGTACACCGTGGTTAGGCCCATAACCACATTCATAGCTGTGTGAGTGCCAAAGAATCCTCGTGGCTTGCTTTCTACACTTTATAATTCCCGAAAATCTTAGAATCTGCGAACTGTGCGGCGTCTATGGCGAGGGCGAGTTCGCTGGCAATGTGGCATTCCCGTACATCGTAGTCGTGAACAACATCTCACAGTTCGTGGCCATGTACTGCCTGGTGCTCTTCTATCGGGCAAACAAGGAGGATTTGAAGCCCATGAAACCCATTCCCAAATTTCTGTGCATCAAGGCGGTGGTGTTCTTTTCCTTCTTGTAAGTTTTGATCTTGATTGATGCTTCAGATTCAGTTTTGACATTCGCATCACAGCCAGGGAGTTCTTCTCAATGTCCTCGTGTACTATGGCATTATCAAGGACATATTCGGTTCCGATGTGGGCGATACCAATCTGGCATCCATGCTGCAAGTGAGTGAATGTAGTGAAACCAGTTTGAACCTTCAATTAACCCCTTGCCAGAACTTTCTCATTTGCATAGAGATGTTTGTCGCTGCCGTGGCTCACATCTACAGCTTTCCGCACCATCCGTTCCACATCAACTCGCCGCAGTACTGGAACAATCCGAATCATAGCTGGTGTCGTGCTTTTCTCTCCATGATGGACATATCGGACATGCAGGAGGATGTCACCGAGCACTTGGGCGTGGTGGGTAGCACATTAAGCCGCCGTTTTCAGGGTCGCAGCACCTATCAGCCGCTGGCACGTGGTCCCCGGCGCTCCAGCAGTGAATCGGAGTACTTAATTAGCAAGCGGCAAGATCAGCAGCTGTCGGGCGGCAGTTCAACTCAATCAGGTAACATGTATGGGGCCACATCAAGTCGCTTGATTGTGCCCATTGATGTGGGGCAGCTGAACACCCTGAACACCGAACCAAATCAAACTCACGCCCACTCTCAATTTCCCATAGCAGGCGCAGCCGGGGCTGGTGATAGTAGCAATAGCAACAACTACCAACAACAACAACTGCACTTGCCGGGTGCGAGGTCACAGCCATCGCCGCGTCAGCGAGAGACTCAGCATCTTCGAGAGCGGGAGCGAGAGCGGGAACGCGATCAGCAGCAGCAGCATTTTGTGGGCGCTGGTGGAAGCAGCTTCTTGCGTCTAGTGCCGGTCGCTGGAGCTGCTTCATCAGCTGCGCCCATACCCGAGTCGAACGACGACTATGCACTACTGCTGGGAGCGGGAGCGGGCAGGTGACATCGCTACCACTACCAGCACCACCACCCGCATATCGATGACGCGTTCGAAGATGAAGATGGTGTAGATGTTAGTCAAAATTTGAATGCCTCGTCACTGAGCGCCTCGCTGTCCGTTTCGTTTGGCATGTCCAGCAGTTTGAAATTCAGTGCCACGTGCAGCAATCAAACTGCATCCGAGTGGTCAAATTCAACAGGTGGTGATGAGGAGGACGAAGATGACGACGACGATGACGATATTGACGAACAGGAGGAACAGCATCCGATTGTGGTTGTTACCTCCACGACGCGGCGTCGTCGCGATCGCGAGTACATCACCTAGACCCTAGACATGAATTCTTCTGCTTCAATTATTCCCCATTCTTAAATATTTATTAATCTTCCCCAATATTCTGATTAGTCATTTGCAAATATTAGTTTTAAAAATACTCATTCGAAGCAACAAACTTTCTCGCAACACCCCATAGGATGGGATGATTGTCTTTGAAATTGTGGCCTTAATTTGCAAATTCGAAAGCAACAACTGATTTTACATACATATAGCAATCGTATAGTTTATCCCGTGCATACATATGGAAGGGTCTTAGCTATTTATCAACTCCTGGAGCTCCCCCTCGATTAAACATTTTTACACTTATATCCGCTAGGCCAAGTAGTTAAATTGAAATATGCCCGAACCGATTGTGAATTTGTTTCTGTGACTACCGCCGGTCAGAAAAGGGCGTTCCTTATATTTAAATAGAAACTTTTATTGTAAACCTAATATACGTCACAATAATAATATGGGAAATAATATTTGCCAACGCCTTTTATGATTGTATTATTATTTATTGTATTCTTTATTGATTTTTAATTTGCGTTTTACCCAATTGAAAGTGAATATTTGTTTAATTTTAACTTGTTTATACATTCCCACATGTCTAAATTTACTGATTTTTGAATGACATTCCCTTCAGCCATGTCGACTCTGCTGCTTTTATCTAAATTTTCTCTTATCGTCCACTAAAACCGCGAAGATACAGACACTTATCCGCACTGATTTCGTTTTGTAGCTGATAACGTGCGGGGGTAAAATATCAGAGAACCAATAGCCATATTTGTTTGTAACATTTATTTTAAGCATTTATCATTTCTAGGCCTTTTTCATAATACTTGCATTTTATCATTTAAAACAAAGATGTAGAACAAAAACAGAACTGACGGAGACATGGATAGATGGACTCCAGCTATAAGTACAGGCTAGACAGTAGACAAATACATTTAAAAGCATAGACGGAATTCACGGATACGAACATAAATCAAAATGGAATACAGTAGAGGGGGGAAAGAAAAAACAAGTAAAACCGAATATCAATCAACATCAATTAAAAACAAATTCAGTCCAGTGATTACTTCTTGTGCTACGTGTGTGAATAATAATTGTAATAGAAATTCCCAGTAAATTTCGACGTGACGTGACGCTTGGTGAATTGCTTTTTGGGCAGACACATAATATATAAATATACATATACTATGCATGCCCACATACACGCAGCTGCAGTAGTAGCAGAAAAGGAAATCGTATTAATTGTTATAGTTCTGCCTGCCGCCCAACTCGAGTAGATATCGGTCTGGATGATCCATCCAGTCGGCGGCTGTAAGCTTGACTGTTCGCTGTCTCTCGGCCTCCTTGATTTGCCACTTCTTAATGTCCAATTGCACTTCACGTGATGATTTGTCGCCGCAGCCCCACACCTGTCGAGAGAGATGGAAAAGAAGACGGGAAGCACCGTGTAGTTCTTGTTGTTGGTAAATTGGTTGTTGGGTAATGAGAAATGTAGACTAAATTGAAACTGCATCGTAAAAACACACTTTTGGGCAGCAAAGTGTGTTTTGTTTTTAACTGCTTAGACTGGAAATTACGCCGTTTATATGTACGTCTATGAATTTTACACCATATACCCATACATATATGCATATACACATATATATACTGTGTTAAATAAGGCTTTTTGTACACGAATACGATTAAAGTACAGAAAAATATACACTTGAAAAGTGATCACCTCTATGGAAATGAGACCAGCAGCCAAGCCCTTGCAGTCAACATTTTCAAAATGTTCATCGACAGCTATGATGGGCTTGCGAGGATCAGCGCCGGCACGCAATCCCTTGGGATAACCTCGTATGCTGGTGTTCAAGTAGAGGATATTGGGCTTCTTCTCCAGTATCACAAATCTGCAATGGAATAATGGTTAAAAAAGCGTTCAAGGGATACGCGTTCTTTTGCGATACGCACTTGGGCAACAGTTGGATGACACAGCTGCCCTCACCGCCCACAAACAAGTGTGTCTCCTTCCATTCACTGGGTGCCGCAACGCAATAGGTCTGCTCGTCCTTTGTGTGGAGCAGTACGAGCGTTGGCCCACGATAGCCGAGAACGTGGTGCAAGAAGCGATTGGCACCCACTCCATGCTCGTTGGAATCATACAGCAGCGTCCAGTGGGATGGCATCATTGAAAGTTTCTCCTTGAAGATTTGGACGGCTGACGAGGCGCTGTTGTTGGCTTTGTTAGCTGGCGATGGCGCAATGGTTTGTGGCTTGGAATAGAGTGGGGGCAAAGCGCCAGCCAAGAGCCAGGCTTGTGACAGTGGCATCAGAGAGTCCGAGAAGTTCGAACCAATTCCGCTGTGATCCGTTGTATCAGTGAAAGGATTGCGCTGCTCCAAAACCGGAGTCTGTAGCTCAATGCCGCAGGATAGTGACGTTTGCTCGAGGCCGCGATAGGCGGTGGATAGCGTGTGCACGCAATACTTGTGGACGAGCAGCACAAGACGGATTAGGTTCTGCTCAAACCAGCGGCACACGTAGCCCAGACTGAGGCTGTCGTGGCACAGAAATATGGACTTGGTGACCGAGCCAAATGTGCGATTAATGGCTGTACAGAGCACTGCGTTGCCAGAATGCTGCATGGCTATCGTATAGCAAATGTGAAGAAGTCTAGTCACACCCGTCTTATCTATGAAATCTGAATTGTCTTCCTGCGCGTACATCTTTATGTAGCACTCAAGGGTCTTGGCATCGTCCATGATGCCCAGGAAACGCTCGCATTGCTGGCGAAAGGCGACTGTGCCCAAGTGCTTCGTCGTGGCCTTGGAGGCCGTGTGCATTAGCTGGAACAATCGATGGCCCAGATCGGCGTAATGTGGAAAGACTTGTGACTGGAAGAAAAACAGCGTATATCAATGAGTTCTTCTTATCAGTTAATGGCAAATTACTCACCACGAAGACATCTGCCACTATGCCATTGATTCCATACTTGGCCGACGTCTGCTCCCGCAGGATCTCTGCCAGCTTCTCCACTGGCACCAGCTGCGTCAAGTACTTTTCCGTTACATCTGCCCCAGAAGCCGACCTGGTCATTGTTTGCGATTGTTGTTGTACCTTGAGACTGTTGTTGCTGCCGCTGCCGCTCCCGCTATTCGCTGCGCCACCGTCCGAGCTCCCATTGTGAGAGTGAGATGATGACTGTGTGGCGGATTTGTGATGATGTTTCTGTTTCCCACCTTCCAGAGGTGGTTCACTGGCGTCAGATTCGCCTTTTGAGCTCGTATTGCCCATATTTGTGAGTTGGCGTTGCTGCTGCGAGGTCTAGTCCACTTCGACGCAATAAATTTTGCAGGCAGCTAGTTCTCTCTCTCTCAGAGTACTGTTTGTACAAGTAAAGGGCATAAAAAAGGCGAAACGCAGGTTTGCACTGAAAATGATTTGTTTGGCGCAACAGGTGCAGGGACGTTTTTGCAGAAAAAAATACTGCGACACAATAGAAACCTGTTACGAAACACACGAACACAGTGCTGCTGACAAATCTGGTTAAATTTACATAATTTAATTTGCAAATAAAAACTTTGAAAGAGAAACGAAAACAAAACCAAACAGAACAAGACCAGGGTTACCGTTTTCACAATAACATATACTTGTTTGGTATATTTTGAAGTTTAATTGAGGTGTAGGTATATCCGTTTAGTGTTTTGGTATATTACAGGCTAAAATTGATTAAAATCTACAACAAATGGTGGCGCCTGCGAACACATTGCAAAATAGTACAAATTCCGACGAAGATGAGTCCGTGCGAGCGGCGCCCACTTCCATGCTATTGCTGGATGCAAAGCGCAAAAGTGCATTTCTGCCCTATCGTCCCCAGTCGACCGTCCTGACTAATCTTCAGCGAGGCAACACAGAAGCCACATTTTGTCCCGTGGAAGTGTCTCTCTCCTTTCACGAGCGAGCGGGTCAGGGTGAGATTACCGAGGAGCAGGTGACGGCGGAGCTAGGAAGGCTGAAAGACATTGACTACAAGGATGCTAATGGCTTCACGGCGCTCCATTGGGCTGCCTCTTACGGGCAACTGGTCTCAGTGCAATTGCTGTTGGCAGTTGGGGCAAATGTAAACAGCACGGCCCCAGACTTGGTAACTCCTCTGTTGTTGGCAGCTGCCGGAGGACACAATGAGATCGTGCGGTATCTCCTAGAACGTGGCGCACATTCTTCACACATGGACATTGTGGGAAATACAGCTCTAATGTACGCTGCTGCCGGCAATCATCCGCATACTTGCAATGAACTTTTGGCGAAAGACTTAGACTTGAGTGCTGCCAATGAGAACGGGGAGACAGCCTATTCCCTGGCGGTAGAGCATGGATCACATCTGGCCCAGGCATTGCTAGAACAATATATGACCGCCATAATTACAGCTGGTGCATTTGGCAGTATATAATTGTAGGTAAAATAAGATAATATTAAGGATGGATGCATAGATAGACAGAGGCATTTTGCGTCCCCAATTCTTGGGATAACTTTATTAAAACTCAAACATTTTATTCTTACGCGTATTCTGTTCTTTGCTGAGTCTGTGCTCATGGGCCTGCAGTGTGGCCAGCTCCTGCTTCTGGCTCTGCAACTGCATATGCAACCGTTTCTGCAGCTGCACATCGGTAGCATTGCGGTCCAGGGACTGTTTTACCTTAGCAATGTCCCTCTGCTTCCGTCGTATGTCATCGGCCACTCGCACGGTCTCCACATTAAGTGTTTTTGTCGAGTGCTGTTGCAGATCGCTTGCTTTTGTGTTCTTAGCTGCTTGCTCGGCCTGCTGACCGCTCTTGCCACTGCCGCCAAGCACGCTCCCATTGAGAAACGAAAAGACATCCGTGCGCTGGGTCTCCCGAACATAGGCCTTTTCATTGGCCTTGTTCTGGCGGCGCTGGGCACGTTTTAGCTTTCGTTCGACGCTAAAATAGTCTTTGTCTCCATTGGCGGCCTCTCGCAGCTCCATACAAGCGTCCAGAGATCGTCCCTGAGGAAGTATTTGAGCACTTACTGGCGTAACAATACCACGGCCCTCGGAGCCCAGTCCAGTGCCATGAATGTAACCCATCTTCTCCATAAGCTTGGATCCTATTCCCTGTAACATTTATTATCATTATTCTGTTAGTTGAAAAGTTCATTCAAAAACTTACTCGTGTGTACTGCTCCCAGGCGCCTAATTTTTCTGTTGGCTTAAAAGTAAATAAACTTAATTCGACCATGCGCGATCGATGCGCTGCCTCTAAGTCATCCATATCCGATTCAATCTCGTCACTGCTGCCATCTTGTTGGCTTGAGGTGCTGTCCTCGCTTGTCATTCCATCTTCCTCTTCTGCAATCAGTGGATAAAGTTCCTCAAATTGAAAGTCGCGCTCGCGTTCTTTGTGGTCCTGTCCATCTAAACGCACACGACACGTTTGCTCCACAAAGTTAGCGCATAGAACACGACCGCGATGCCACAGGCGATCTGGCATCTTGGCCAGCACCGGGCAGTTACGAGCAAGCCTGGGAAAATCGGGGGGAATGTAGCTTTTGATGGAGGCACCGGGCACCAAGGCACCATGCGAATATCGGCAACGTATCTCATCGAAGCGGCACTCTCCCTCCAGATAGTAATTGCAGGGCAGCATTTCGCAGTGTGTGGGATTTATGTAGAGTACGCGTAACCGAACGTCTAGGACGGCATTGCTGTTGATGATTACTTCATCGTCCACGCCACAGATCAGCGCGTTGTGATAGCTCACGGCTCCCCAGCTATGCTCGTGAGGGGCCGAGCATTTTTCTCCTATTAGAGCATTGTACTTGGCGCGCAGATCCGCCAATTGTTGCTCTTCGTCCTCATTTTTGGGGCCAACGTTGGCAGCTGCCTCCTCCAGTTCATTTAGTTCGCTCTTTAGCCTCAGCAACTCATCGTCTAGGATGTCTCCATGTTGAGCAGTTTGGTCAGCTTCCGTCTCTCGAGTGAGGGCCAAGAGCTCTTGCAGATTCGTTCTTAGCGCTGATAGTTCTTCCCGCTGCTGCTCATCGGTGGCATTTTTCAGCGCCTGCTCCACAGCCACCAACTGAAGAAAGGAAGCATGTGATTAGGAAAATCCGATTGAAATAAGGAAAACACTCACCTGTGCTTCGTATTCATTCATTGTTGATGCCAAGCATAAGCATTGTTGCACGCAAAAGTTTGTAAATTTTCGAGGGGTTCACAACGCCAGGCAAACACGTATGTATGTATGTGAGCCCTCAGCTGATTTCTGCGGACATTTTTCAACACTAGTACGCAAAACAAAACACCGGCAAAGCAAACGCGTGCTGCATGTTGCATCATTTATAGTTACAATAATAAAATGCAATTTACAGTAAATTTGACACGAGGGCATGTCGCGCCGCGACTGCATCGGTTCACAAGTAAAATCGCCGTTGATGTGGAGCCAACAGTAATTTCCGGACTGGAGCAAGCGACATTGAAGCCGCGGAAGCATCCTGGCATCGTCAAGCCCAACCAACTTGAGCTGCCGCAAAAATTGAGCGACACACTGAGGCAGATTGTAGGCGACCATCCCGTCAAGAAAGTCTTGCAGGACAGCCAGATGCTCAATTCGTACATCAAGTCCCGCCATCCTCCACCCACACTGGCGGAAATCGAAAACAAAAAGAAACTAATCGTTGAGGAAGTTAATTCAAAGATGTCCCTGGAACGGTTGGCCGCGCTAAGCGAGGAGGAAGCGAATCGCTGGAAACGCAAGCGAGAGCTGGAGATCAACAAACGCCTGAGCCAGCGCACCTATGCCTGGAAGCGCATTGAGTACGGTGCATACGAAGCCATTGTCTATGCAGTGGCCAGAGGAGCCCAGGAGTATGCGGTCTTGAAGCGAATTCTCACAGAGCTCGCCCAGCGGGATGTCCACTTTAAGCCTCGAAGTTACTTTGACTTTGGCTCCGGTGTCGGCACTGGCATGTGGGTGGCCAGTGAGCTGTGGAAGGAGAACATATTCGAGTACTACAATGTGGATCGATCCAGGGAAATGAATGAACTTTCCGAGCTGATACTTCGGGATGGCCAGGAAAATAAGCAAATCTCTCTGCGAAATGTGTTCTATCGCCAGTTTCTGCCAGCCATTGAAACGAAATATGATTTGGTCATTATTTCGCACACGCTCTTTGAGATGGTGGACAAGGCACAGCGAGAAGAGGTTCTGCTCAATCTGTGGCGCAAGTGCGATGGCTACATGGTCATTGCGGAGGAGGGAACACGACGTGGCAGCGAGCTGGTCAACGAAGCCAGACGTTTCCTCTTGCGTGTCAACGATGAGGAACTGCAAGGCCACACAGTTGCTCCGGTAAGCTCTTGAAATGACTTTTCGCACAGTTATTTGAGTCCATGTATTCCCACTCTCAGTGCCCACACGATGTACGTTGTCCTCGCCTTAGTGATCTGGCAGATCGAACACCCTGCAATTTCCCCATTAAATACGCTCCACTGCGACTGAGTAGCGACTCCTCAGGCGATAGCCACACCTCCCTCTACAGCTATGCCATTCTGAAGAAGGGCCCCGTCTCAGACACCTCTCGCCCTTGGCCGCGCATTGTGCGTCCCACCTTGGTGCGGTCAAAGCATGCGATTTGCCGCCTCTGCACGGAAGAGGGAAAATTGCAAGAGGTCATCTTCACGAAGGCCAAGCACGGGAAGTAAGTACCCCAAATGATTGTTCACATGTTTTCGCCCCTGTCTCACGATACTTACTGCCTGTTTCCTTGTTCTAGATCGGCCTACAGCTGTGCCAAAGTCAGCCGTTGGGGCGATCGCCTGCCCATGGCCGTGGGTCCACCGCAACCATCTAGTCCAACCACGAAACCAAGAAACCAATCCCAAGCAGAGCAGCATCTCCAGCCGGAGTGGACGTAGTCTAAGTTTAAGAATTGTTGATTCAATTTTAATTTGTTAAACATTGTCCCATGCCCGCGGCTAATTGATACTAAAAACTGTCGTTCAATTAGTCGATTTAATTACGTGCAAACAAATCGTTGCAGGCGGAGCACAAAATTAATTAAATAGTTGCATTTAAATTAACCATTTGGCTTGTAAATGGCAGAGGCCCCATCCATACTCATTGATACTAAATTTCATTGAAAGGCTGAAGGCACACCCTCACCTAGATTTTAATGCAGGCAAGACAAAAGCTGATTCGGATGGCTTGGCCTGGCCACAGGGTGGGATCAGCTTTATATATATGTATGTAGACCATGGCTTGTACATAAACAAACGCTTGGCCAATGGTCAGCGTTGCCAGCACAGTGTGTCAATGTGTTTGTCGAGGAGTTTGGTTGCTGGCTAACCAGCAGGTGGGTGTGTCAGCCAAGCGGACCATTAGAATATGTTCTGAAATCTAGCTGCCTTTATCCTTACTATTTCTGAATCTATTTGCTGATCTTTTCTCGAATGTAAACCCTATTTAGGAATCACAATTGTTAACTTTCAATTAGCGATAATAGATCAGAAGAACCCAGATGTCTGGCCAAGCCCAGTTCTGTTGGGACTGCCATCGAAATGGTCTGACATTTAGGCG